GGTCTCTCTTTCTGGTCTCTCTCTGGTCTCTCTCTTGTCTCTCTCTCTGGTCTCTCCCCTCTGGTCTCTGTTTGGTCTCTCTGTCAGGTCTCTCTCTGGTCTCTCTCTGGTCTCTCTCTGGTCACTCTTTCTGGTTCTCTCTTCTGGTCTCTGTCTCGTCTCTCTGGTCTGGTCTCTCTCTGGTCGCTCTCTGGTCTCTCTCTGGTCTCTCTCTGGTTCACCTCACTGGTCAATCTCTGGTCACTCTCTGGTCTCTCTCTGGTCTCTCTCTCTGTCTCTCTCTGCGTCACTCTCTGGTCTCTCTCTGAGTCACTCTTCGGTCTCTCTTGGTCTCTCTCTGTCTCTCTATGGTCTCTCTCTGGTCTCTCTCTATGGTCCTCTCTTCTGGTCTCTCTCTGGTCTCTCTTGGACTATCTCTCTTGTCTCTCTCTGGTCGCTCTTCTCTGGTCTCTCTCTGATCACTCCTGGGTCTCTGTCTGGGCTCTCTCACTGGTCTCTCTATGTTCTCTCTCTGTCACTCTCTCTGGAGTCTCTCTGGTCATCTCTAGGTCTCTCTATGGTTCTCTCTCTTGTCTCTCTCTTGGTCTCTTTCTAGTCTCTCTTGCACAAAGAAAGTGTTCCTTATGGCACTGTCTCTGTCCTCGCTCTGTCGGCGCCTCGTAAATAAACTAAACTATGGTATTAGATGTAAATATACAACTTTTACACACACACACACACCCACACACCACACACCACACCACACACAACACACACACACACACACACACACACACACACAACCACACACACACACACACACACACCACACAACACACACAAACACACACACAACCACATCGGAGAGGCATAAAATTACACTACGAGGGCCGGCCGACTGTGTTGCGTGAGTCTGGTGTGAGTCTGTGTGTGGTCTGTGTGTCTTTGATTTGTTTCTGTGTGTGTGTGTGTATGTGTGTCTGTGTGTGTGCTGTGTGTGTGTGTAGTGTGTCGTGTGGTGGGTGTGTGAGTAGTGTTGTGTTTGTGTATAAAGTTGTATATTTAAATTCAAATACCATAGTTTAGTTTATTTACGAGGCTCCGGACAGAGCGAGGGGACAGAGACACGGTGCCAAAAGGAAAAAAAAAAAAAAAAAAAAAAAAAAAAAAAAAAAAAAAAAAAAAAAAAAAAATCTTTCTTGGTGCCAAGAGAGACTAGAAAGAGGACCAGAACGAGAGACAAGAGGATGAGGACCAGAGAGAGACAGGAGAGACCAGAGAGACACCAGAGAGCGGGAGACCAGAGAGGAGAAACCAGTGAGAGACCAGTGAGAGAGCCAGACAGCGCCAGAGAGTGATCAGAGAGAGACCAGAGAGAGAGACCAGAGAGAGACCAGAGAGGAGAGACCAGAAGAGAGACCAGAGAGAGGACCAGCGAGAGCCAGAGAGAGAGACAGAGAGAGACCAGAGACGAGTTAAAGAGACAGAGAGAGACCAAAGAGAGAGACGGAGAGTAGAGAGTGACCAGCGAGAGACCAGGAGTGACCAGAGAGAGACCAGAAGAGAGAAGAGAGAGTACCAGTGAGTGACAGAGGAAGTGACCAGCGAGTGACCAGAGAGGACAGAGAGAGACCACTGAGAGCGACAGAGAGAGGACCAGACAGAGGAGACCAGACAGGGACCAGAGAGGACCAGAAGAACGAGTGACCAGGGAGAGAGACCAGATGAGAGACCAGAGAGAGCCCAGACAGAGAGACAAACAGAGACCAGAAGAGGACCAGAGAGAGAGACCAGAGAGAGACCAGAGAGAGACAGAAAGAGAGACCAGACAGAGACCAGTGAGAGACAAGAGAGAGAGAAGAGGAGAGAGACCAGACAGAGACCAGAGAGAGACAGAGGAGAGACCAGAGAGAGACAAGAGGAGGAGACCAGACAGAGCCCAGAGAGACACGAGAGATGAGACAGAGAGTGACCAGGACGAGGACCATAGAGAGAGACCAGAGAGACAGAGAGAGACAGAAAGTACCCAGATGAGAGACCAGAGGAGAGACCAGCGAGAGACCAGAGAGAGAGACCAGGAGGAGACACGAGATGAGACCAGGAGAGCCAGAGAGAGACCAGAGAGAGACAAAAGAGAGACCAGACAGAGACCGAGAAGAGACAGAAGAGAGACAGAGAGGAGTCCAGAGAGAGCCAGATGAGAGACCAGAGAAGAGGACTAGAGTGAGACAGACAGAGAACAGAGGACAGACCAGAGCGAGACCAGACAGAGACTGTAGAGACAGAGAGAGACCAGGAGAGAGAGACCGACAGAGACCAGAGAGACACCCGAGAGAGACCAGAGAGAGAGACCAGAGAGAGACCAGAGAGAGAGACAGAGAGAGGACAGTGATGAGAACAGAGAAGAGGACCAGACAGGGACCAGAAGAGACAACAGAGAGAGACAGAGAGTGACAGAGAGTAGACCAGAGAGCAGACCAGAGAGAGACCTGAGATGTGACCAGAGAGAGGACCAGAGAGAGAGGGACAGAGAGACCAGAGAGAGACAGAGAGAGAGCCAAGGACAGAGACCAGAGTGACACCAGGAGAGAACAGAGCACAGTGACCAGAGAGGAGACCAGAAGAGAGAGACCAGAGAGAGACCAAGAGAGAGAGACCGAGAGAGACCGAGAGAGACCAGATGAGAGAGACCAGGACAGAGACCTGAGAGAGACAGAGAGAGAGACCAGACAGAGAACAGAGAGAGACAGAAATTGACCAGAGAGAGATCAGAGAGAGACAGTGGAGAGTCAGAGAGAGACCAGAGAGGACCAGATGAGAGAGACCGAGAGAGACCAGAAGAAAGTGAACAGAGAGAGACCAGAGAGAGAGAGAGTACGATTTCTCTCAAACTGCAATTTCTAAAACCTAAATGTTCGGTAACCGAGCAGCTTTGTTTTGTTGAGTCGTGTGTGTGTGTTTTTTGTGTGTGTGTCCATGACTCTTGTGTGTGTGCAGTCCCGCGCTTTGTCGTTGAAGGTTTGTGGTTCTCAGGTGCGTGTCAATGTGTGTGTGTGTGAGTGTTGTGTGTGTGTGTGTGTCATGTGTGTGTGTGTGTCCGTGTGGTGTGTGCCGTGTCAATGTGTGTGTATGTGTGTGAGTGTGTCCGTGTGTGTGTGTGTGTCTGTCTCGTGCGCTGGATTATAATTCTTCATCATTATAGTATGAAGTGAAAGTACTCGTGGCTGAATGTGCTTGGCGTGGATCTTTGGGCTATCCAGCACAAAACGCCCCAGTCACATATTGAAGGAGGAGACGCCACAAATGTCAACAGTAACACACAGGGATGGATTAGAAGGCCACACACAAATCACACACACACACACACACACTGAGAGCAACAAGTGAGCTTCATATATTTGGGGGAATATGCTGATATGCGACGAGTGAGACCAGAGAGAGGAGACAGAGAGAGACCAGGGAAGGAAACCAGAGAGAGACCAGAAAGAGACTAGGGAAGACAGGCGAGAGACCAGAGAGAGACCAGAGATGAGACCAGAGAGGAGACCAGGGGACCAGGACCAGGAGAGACCAGAAGAGAGACAGAGAGAGACCAGAGATGTGAGAGGGACCAGGAAAAGACCAGGGATCGAGACCAGAGAGAGACCAGAGAGGGAGACCAGAGAGAGACCAGGAAAAGACAGGGAGAGACCAGAGAGAGACCAGAGGAGAGACCATGGGAAAAGACAGGGGAGCCAGCGAGAGACCAGAGAGAGGACTGAGTCTTGGTCCTGTCTCTGACCCTCCTCCGTGGCCGGAGCAGGAAGGCCTGAGCAAGTTTAATTGTGTAGCACAGTTCATACAGAAGACCAACTCAAACCAAACAAGAAACATTAAAATAACAAAGGACTAGAATCATAAACAACCAGCTGAGAGTCACGGACTCTCCTGGACCCGGGTGATGGTGTTCTCACCAAACTCGCTCTGCCGCTCCATGGTACTTTTTTAGTTATGGTGCTCGGCCCGGTTCTAAAGAGTCATTATCAAACACACATGCATCCAACACACACCTCATACTGCGCCATGTGTTTTGTGTGTGTTTAGTGCCAAGTCCAGCCAAGCCCAGTCCGAGTCCAGCCCAGTTCAGTCCCTGCCAGCCCAAGCGCATTTCCAGTCTGCCAGACAAGTCCAGCCCAGGTCTAGTCCAGTCGTCCAGCCCAGACCAGATCCCTGCATGTTCATGATTACAAAGATGATTTTACATATTTCATAAATGAACATTTGTGAGTAACAAGTTCAGAGATCCCTGTCTGTTTTTTTGGGGTTGAGACTGTTCAACTCTGAGACCATGAAGCGAACTTCTCTGAGTCTGAGACTGTTCTAACTCTGAGACCATGAAGCGACTTCTTGAGTCAGAGACTGTTCCAACTCTGAGACCTGAAGCGACTTCTCTGAGTCTGAGGATGTTCCAACTCTGAGACCATGAAGCGACTACTTCTGAGTCTGAGACTGTTCTAACTCTGAAGACATGAAGCGACTTCTCTGAGTCTGAAGAGGGGGTGGGGGTCTGTTCCAACTCTGAGACCATGAAGCGACTTCTCTGAGTCTGAGACTGTTCTAATCTGAGACCATGAAGCGACTTCTCTGAGTTGAGATGTTCCAACCTCTGAGACATGAAGCGACTTTCTGAGTCTGTGACCTGTTCTAACTCTGAGACATGAAGCGCTTCTCTGGTCTGAGACTGTTCTAACTCTGAGACCATGAAGCGATTCTCTGAGTCTGAGACTGGTTCCACCTCTGAGACATGAAGCGGACTTCTCTGAGTCTGAGACTGTTCTAACTCTGAGACCAGAAGCGACTTCTCTGAGTCTGACACTGTTTCTAACTCTGTGACCATGAAACGACTTCTCTGAGTCTGAGACTGTTCCAACTCTGAGACCAATTGAAGCGACTTCTCGAGTCTGAGACTGTTCTAACTCTGCGACCATGAAGCGACTTCTCTGAGTCTGGACTGTTCCAACTCTGAGACCATGAAGCGACTTCTATGAGTCTGACACTGTTCTAAGCTTGAGACCATTGAAGCGACTTCTCTGCCGTCTGGACTGTTCTGAACTCTGAGACCATGAAGCGACTTCTCTGAGTCTGAGATGTTCTAACTCTGAGACCATGAAGCGACTTCTCTTGAGTCTGTACACTGTTCTAACTCTGATACCATGAAGCGACTTCTTGAGTCTGAGACTGTTCCAACTCTGAGACATGAAGCGACCTCTCTGAGTCTGCGACTGTTCCAACTCGGAGCACATGAAGCGACTTCTAGAGTATGACACTGTTCTAACTCTTGAGAACATGAAGCAGACTTCTCTGAGTCTGAGGACTGTTCCACCTCTGAGGTACCATGAAGCGACATCTCTGGTCTGAGGACTGTTCCACCTCTGAGACCATTGAAGCGACTTCTCTGAGTCTGAGGACTGTTCCAACTCTGAGACCATGAAGCGACTTCTCTGAGTCTGAGACTGTTCAACTCTGACACATGAAGCGACTTCTCTGGAGATTCTGGACACTGTTCTAAACTCTGGGACCATGAAGCGAAGCTTCTCTGAGTCTGAGAACTGTTCCAACTCTGAGACCATGAAGCGACTTCTCTGAGTTAGGGTGACTCGTTCAACTCTGAGACCATGAAGCGACTTCTCTGAGTCTGAGGACTGTTCCAACTCTGAGACCATGGAAGCGACTTCTACTGAGTCTGAGACTGTTCCAACTCTGAGACCATGAAGGCGACTTCTCTGAGTCTGAGAATGTTCCAACTCTGAGGTGGTATTGGTTGTATCATGGCTTTCTTTGTATCAAGGTATCGTTAGTCTGGTCAGTCTAGTCCACCCTAGTCCAGTCCCGTCCATTCTAGTTCCATCAAGGTCCAGTCCAGTCCAGGTCCAGTCCATAGCGAGTCCTTCATGTCCATTTTGTAGTCCAGTCCCAGTCCATTCGAGTCCAGTTAGGAGTCCTGCCGCAACAGGAAACAGGATCCTGTCAATCCTACCCGTCATCATCCTGGATAATTTACAAGGAAGGAAAGCTTTTCATTCGTGCATCAACCCGCCTCCTCCACCAACCAGAGAGGACCAGGAGAGGCCAGAGAGAGACCAGAGAGGAGACCAGGAGGAGACCAGACAGAGACCACGAGAGTGGACCGAGAGAGACCAAGGGAGAGACCAGAGAGAGACCAGGGAGAGACCCGGGAGTGACCAGAGAGAGGACCTGAGAGAGACCAGGGAGAGACCAGAGAAAATGACCGTGAGAGACAGGGAGGAGACCCGGAGAGCGGGACCAGAGAAGAATTGTTGGGGGGGGGGGAAACCCCAAGGGAGAGACAGAGAAAGACCAGAGAGAGGATACCAGAGAGAGACCAGGGAGAGACAGAGAGGACCAGAGAGAGACCAGAGAGAGACCAGGGAGAGACCAGAGAGAGACCAGAGAGAGACCAGAGCGAGACCAGGGAGAGACCAGAGAGAGGCCAGAGAGGATCGGACCAGGGAGAGACCAGAGAGAGCACCAGAAGTGAGACCAGAGTAGAGACCTGGGAGAGACCAGAGAAGAGGGACCCGGAAGAGACCAGCAGAGAGACCAGAGAGGAGACCAGGAGAGAGACCAGGAGATGAGACCAGGGAGAGGACCAGGGAGAAACCAGAGAGAGACCAGAGAGGACCAGAGAGACAGAGAGAGACCAGAGAGAGGACCCGGGAGGAGACCAGGGAGATACCAGAGAGAGGACCCGGGAGAGACCGAGAGTAGACCGAGAGAGAGACCGAGAGAGGACCAGGAGACCAGAGAGAGACCAGAGAGACCAGAGAGTACCAGAGAGAGACCAGGGAGAGACCAGAGGAGATACAGAGAGAGACCAGAGAGGAGCCCAGAGAGAGGGACCAGAGAGAGACCAGAGAAGATACCAGAGAGAGATTCAGGGGAGAGACCAGAGCGAGACCAGGGAAGAGACCAGAGAGATCCCAGAGAGCGGCCAGAGAGAGACCAGATGTGAGACAAGAGATTACCATGAGAGAGACCCGGAGAGGACAGAGAGAGACCAGGGAAGAGACAGAGAGAGACCAGGGAGAGACCAGAGAGAGACAAGGGAGAGACCAGGGAGAAAACCAGAGAAGGGAGACCAGACAGAGAACCAGCAGAGACAGTAGAGACCAGAGAGAGACAGAGAGAGACCAGGGAGAGACTAGAGAGAGCCAAACCCCCCCCCCCCCCCCCCCCCCCCCCACCACCCCCCCACGAGAGAGACAGGGAAGAGACCAAGAGATACCAGAGAGGATACCAGAGATGAGACAGATAGAGACAGAGAGAGACCCAGAGAGAGACCCGAGAGATACCCAGAGAGAGATCAGGGAGAGACCAGAGAGAGACAGGAGAGGACCAGAGAGATACCAAGAGAGCCAGAGAGAGGCCAGAAGAGAGACCAGAGAGATACCAGAGGAGACCAGGGGAGACAGAGATGGAGGACCAGGAGAGACCAGAGAGGAGACAGAGAGAGACCAGAGAGAGCCAGAGATAGACCAGAGAGAGACCAGAGAGAGACAGGATGAGACCAGGGAGAAGTGACAAGAGAGTACCAGAGAGCGACCAGAGTACGTGGCCGAGAGATACCAGAGAGAGATAGGGAAGAGACAGGAGAGAGACCAGGGAGAATGCAGACCAGAGAGATACCAGAGAGAGGACCAGAGAGAGGCCAGAGAGAGACCAGAGAGATACCGAGGCAGGAGACCTAGGGAGAGACCAGAGAGAGACAGGGAGAGACCAGAGATGAGACCAGAGGATGGACAGAGAGGGCCAGGAGGAGAGACCAGAGAGCTACCCAGAGAGAGACCAGAGGAGAAATGAAGACCAGAGAGAGACCAGGGAGAGACCAGCGAGAGACAGAGAGAGAACAGCGAGAGACCAGAGCATGGACCAGAGAGAGACCAGAGAGAGACCAGTGTGTAGCGACCAGAGAGAGACCAGTAGAGAGACAGAGAGAGCAGAGCGAGACCAGAGCGAGACCAGGAATGGTCCAGAGACGAGCCAGAGAGGAGTACCAGAGAGACCAGAGTGAGACCAGAGACCCAGAGAGAGACCATAGAGAGACCGGGGAGAGAGACAAGCGGAGGACAGCCGTTAGTGGACTACGACCTTGTCCCAGTGGATCTGGACTACGCTCACAGGACAGGACCCCAGTTTGTGGAGAACCCAGGGACTTTGGTGTGAGGTCTGACCTGCAGTGTGGGGGCCCCCGGGGATTCAGGACACAACAGGTCGGTTGTGTCCTCCAGAAGTTCTCCAACTGACTATGCCATCATCGGACTCAGCTCCGAGGGACGATGACACAGAGTACAGAGGAGTTATACAGGACTTTTTGACGAGAAAGACCAGGAGATGAACCACCTTTCATCAATCAGAAGACCTAAGGAGGTGAACACTCCTCATCAACAGAAGACCAAGGAGATGAACCTCCTCTTCAAACAGAAAGATGGAGATTGAACCACCTCCTCATCAAACAGATGACCAAGGAGGATGAACCACCTCCTCATCAACAGAAGACCAAGGAGATGAACCACCTCACTCATCCAAGAAGACCAAGGAGATGAACCACCTCCACATACACAGAAAGACCAAGGAGCATGAACCACCTTCTCATCAACAGAAGACCAAGGAGATGAAACCACCTCTCCATCAGAAGACAAGGAGATGAAACCACTACTCATCAACAGATGACCACGGAGAAGAAACCACCTCTCATTCAACACGATGGACCAAGGAGAAGAACCACCTCCTCATCAACAGAAGACCAAGGAGATGAACCACCTCCTCATCAACAGGAAGGACCAAGGAGATGAACCACCTTCTCACAACAGATAAGGCCAAGGAGAAGAACCACCTCCTCATTTCAACGTGCAGGAAGACCAAGGAGTTGAACCACCTCGCTCATCAAACGCGGGGAAGACTAAGGAGATGAACCACCTCCTCATCAACGCGGGGATGACTAAGGAGATGAACCACCTCTCCTCAACGTGAGGAAGACCAAGGGAGAATGGTGGTGGTTTTCCGCAGACGTCACTCTGCCGCACCAGCTCCAGTGAACATCAGGGAAAGGACATCGAGAGAGTGGACTCTTAACAAGTACCTGGTGTGTTCTCTGAACCCACAAATGGATGGAGTCTTAACACAGACGCCCTCTTCAAGAAAGGGCAGTGCCGCTTACACTGCTTGAGGAGGCTCAGGTCTTTTGGAGTGCAGGGTCCACTCCTGAAGACCTTCTATGACTCTGTGGTTGGAAGCCTCTGTCCGGTGTGGTCTGCTGAACAGCAGCATCACAGAGAGGGACAGGAAGAGTGGACAAGGTTATCAGGAAGTCCAGCTCAGTCCCTGGGCTGTTCCCTGGACAGTGCTAGCAGGTGGAGGGACAGGAGGGTCTCTGAGCAAAATAACATCTATGCTAGGACCATGACTGTCGCCCCTGCAGGACACTCTCTCTTCGGCTATGGAGAGCAGCTTCAGGTGAAAGTCTAATTCACCCTCGTCTGTGTGAAGGAGAGGTTTGACAGGTCCTTCTTCCCTGCTGCTGTCAGACGTACAACGAGAATGTGCAACCAGGAAACTGCTAATCAGTCAATGATAGTTCACTATAATTTGTCACTAGTCACTACTGTTATCAGTACTTACTGTATTATTACAGATCTGATAATTCTGCCTTTCACCGTCCACTTTAAATGTGATATTTTTTACGATGTTATTCTGCTCATAGTCATATTCTCCGCTGCTAAAGTACAAATATATACATTGTAAATACTCCTGAAACCAAGTGCAGTTGATAGCCCAAAGTATTATTTTTATTCTTATCTTAATTTATGTCTATTGTCTTAAACAATAGACTATTTGATGTGTGCAATCTGAGTGCTCTTATGTCTCCTCTCTGCCTGTAATATAGATAATGTGCAACGATGACAATGACATTTCTCCATGTTGAGGCTAATAAAGGTATATTCTTATTTCATAGAGAGAGAGAGAGGGAACCAGAGAGAGAGAGCAGAGAGAGGAGACAGGGGAGAGACCAGAGAGAGGAGAGCAGAGAGAGAGAACAGAGAGAGAGCAGAGAGCGACCAGAGAGAGAGCAGAGAGAGAGCCCAGGGGAGAGAGGAGAGCAGAGGAGAGAGCAGAGAGAGAGCCAGAGAGAGCCAGGGTGGAGAGCAGCAGAGAGAGAGAGACCAGAGGAGATAGACCAGAGAGAGAGAGACCAGAGAGAAGCAGAGAGAGACCAGAGAGAGAGACCAGAGAGAGAGGACAGAGAGAGAGACCAGGAGAGAGACCGGTTAGAGAGACCAGGGAGCGAGAGCAGAGAGAGAGAGAGGAGAGAGCAGTGAGAGTAGAGAGAGAGAGACCAGAGAGAGACCAGGGAGTTGAGAGAGGCAGAGAGAGAGAGCAGAGACGAGGGAGACCAGAGAGAGCCCAGGAGAGCGACGCAGCGAGAGAGACCAGGAGAGAGAACCCGAGGAGAGAGCAGAGAGAGACCAGAGAGAGAGACAGAGGGAGAGACCACGGTTAGGACGAGAGGCAGGGAGAGAGCAGAGATGCGAGCAGAGAGAGAGAGAGCAGAGAGAGAACCAGAGATGAGACCAGGGAGAGAGAGCAGAGCGCGCGCAGAGAGAGAGCAGAGGAGAGCAGAGTGAGAGTGCAGAGATGAGACCAGAGAGACACCCACACACACTCCTCCTCCTGTTGTGAGTTTTGGATAGGTGTGTCACTGCTGATAGACCAGTGTGAGTTCATTCTTCATAACTTGAACCAAAACGGCTCATGTGGTGAGAACAAAACGCTTCCAGACTTTTCCCGAGAGACAGTGACGGCCTCTCGGTTTCTCCTGGTCCCCTCTCTCTCTTCTCTCTCTGTCTCTCTCTCTTTCTAGGGTCTTCTCTCTGGTCTCTCTCTGGACTCACTCTGGTTCTCTCTCTGGTCTCTCTTGGGTCTCTCTCTGGACCTCTCTCTGGTCTCCTCTCCCTGGTCTCTCTCTGGTCTCTCTTGTCTCTCTCTCTCTGCTTCTCTCTCTGCTCTCTCTCTGCTCTCTTTACCTGGTCTCTCTCTTGGTCTCACTCTCTGGTCTCTCTCTGCTCTCTCTCTGGTTTCTCTCTCTGGTCTATCTCTCTGCTCGTATCTAACTGGTCTCTCTCGGGTCTCTCTCTCGCTCTCTCTCAGCTCTCTCTCCCTGGTCTCTCTCTCGGTCTCTCTTCTGCTCTCTCTCTCTGCTCTCTCTTGGTCTCTCTCTGCTCTCGCTCCCTGGTCTCTCTAATGGTCTCTCTCTCTGGTCTCTCTCTCTGGTCTCTCTCTCTGGTCTCTCTTCTGGTCTCTCTTGCTCTCTTCTCTGGTCTCTCTCTCTGGTCTCTCTCTCTGGTCTCTCTCTCTCTGCTCTCTCTCCTGGTCTCTCTCTGGTTCTCTCTCTGCTCTCCTCTCTGCTCTCTCTCCCTGGTCTCTCTATCTGGTATCTCTCTCTTGGTCTCTCTCTGCTCTCTCTCTGGTCTCTCTCTCTCTGCTCTCTCTCTCTGGTCTCTCTCTGGTTCTCTCTCTTGCTATCTCTCTTGGTCTCTCTCTCTCTCTGAGATAGATAAACCTTATTAGTTCACAGTGGAGATATGTCAGTTTCATCGTTGCAACATTTCAGCAGAGAGGGAACATAGAGCCTCAGATTGCACACATCAAATCGTCTATTGTTTAAGACAATAGACAATAAAATTAGATAAGAATAAATTAACTTTGGGCTATAACTGCACTTGTTCAGGGTATTTAAGATGTTATATCTTGTACTTTAGCAGCGGTAGAATATGAATATGAGCAGAATAAGCATCGTAAAATAATCACAGGTAAAGTGTCGGTGAAAGGCAGAATTATCAGATCTGTTAATAATACAGTAGTTACTGATACAGGTAAAGTGGACTAGTGACAAGTATAGTGAAACTATCAGTGATGATTAGCAAGTTCCTGTTGCCATTCTCGTTGTACGTCATACAGCAGCAGGGGAAGAAGGGACCTGTCAAACCTCTCCTTCACCAGCGAGGGTGAATTAGTCTGTCACTGAAGCTGCTCTCAGAGCAGAGAGAGTGTCCTGCAGGGGGCGACAGGTCATGGTCCAGCATAGATGTTAGTTTGCTCGGACCCTCTGTCCCCCACTGCTGCACTGTGTCCAGGGACAGCCCAGGACTGAGCTGGGACTTCCTGATTAACTTGTCCAGCTTCTTTCCTGTCCCTTCTCTTGATGCTGCTGTTCCAGCAGACCACACCGTACAAGAGGCTCACCACAGAGTCATAGGAAGGTCTTCAGGAGTGGCCCTGCACTCCAAAAGAACCTGAGCCTCCTCAGCAGGTAGAGGCGGCTCTGGCCTTCTTGAAGAGGGCGTCTGTGTTTGGGAGATCAGTCCAGTTTGTGGTTCAGATGAACACCCAGGTACTTGTTAAGAGTCCACTCTCTCGATGTCATTTCCCTGGATGTTCACTGGAGCTGGAGCGGCAGAGTGACGTCTGCGGAAACCACCACCATCTCCTTGGGTCATCTCATCGTTGATGAGGAGGTGGTTCATTCTCCTTAGTCTTCCCCGCGTTGATGAGGTGGTGGTTTCATCTCCTTAGTCTTCACGCGTTGATGAGGAGTGGTTCCATCTCCTTGGTCTTCCTCACGTTGATGAGGAGGTGGTTCTTCTCCTTGCCTTCTGTTGATGAGAAGGGTGGTTTATCTCTTGGTCTTCTGTTGATGAGGAGGTGGTTCATCTCCTTGGTCTTCTGTTGATGAGGAGGTGGTTCTTCTCCTTGGTCATCTGTTGATGAGGAGGTGGTATTCTCCCTGGTCTTCTGTTGATGGAGGAGGTGGTTCCTCTCCTTGGTCTTCTGTGATGAGGAGGTGTTCATCTCCTTGGTCTTTATGTTGATGAGAAGGTGGTCATATCCTTGTCTTCTGTTGATGAGGAGAAAGGTGGTTATCTCCTTGGCTTCTGTTGATTGAGGAGGTGGATTCATCTCCTTGGTCTTCTGTTGATGCGGAGGTGGTCATCTCCTTGGTCTTCTGTAGATGATGGAGTGGTTATCTCCTTGGTTCTTCTGGTTGAGAGGAGGTGGTTCATCTCCTTGGGTCTTCTGTTGATTGAGGAGGTGGTACACCTCCTTGGCTTCTGTTGATGAGGAGGTGGTTCATCTCCTAGGTCTTTCTCGTCCACAAAGTCCTGTATAAATCCCTCTGTACTCTGTGTCATCGTTTCGGAGCTGAGTCCGATGATGCAGAGTCGTTGAGAAATTCTGGAGGACACAAACCGACCGTGTTGTGTCTGAATCCCCTGGGGGGCCCCCCACACTTGCAGGTCCAGGCCTCAGACACAAATTCCCTGGTTCTCACAAAATGGGTCTGTCTGTGAGGTGTCAGATCCACTGGGGGACAGGGTCGTAGTTCCACAACGGCTGTCTCCAGCTTGTCTCTCTGCCGGTCTCTCTTTGGTCTCTCTCTGGTGTCTCTGTTCTCTCTCTGGTCTATTGGTCTCGCCTATGGTCTCGCTTGGTCCATCTATGGTCTCTCTCTGGTCTATCTCTGGTCTTCTCTCTGGTCTCTCTCTGGTCTCTCTCTGGTCTCTCTCATGGTATCTCTCTGGTCTCTCTCTGGTCCATCTTGTCTCTCTTGGTCTCTCTCTGGTCTCTCTTGGACTTCCCTGGTCTCTCTCTGGTCTTCCCTGGTTCTCTCTCTGGTATCTCTCTGGTCTCTCTTGGCCCTTCTCTTCTGGTCCAATCTCTGTCTCTCTCTAGTCTCTCCTGGTCTCTCTCTGGTCTCTCCCTGGGTCTCTCTCTGGTATCCTCTGGTCTCTCTCTGCTCTCTATGGTCTCTCTCTGTATCTCTCTGGTCTCTCCCCGTCTCTCTCTGGTCTCTCCCTGATCTCTCTCTGGTATCTCTCTGGTCTCTCTCTCTGGTCTCTCTCTGGCTTCTCTTGTCTCTCCCTGGTCTCTCTTGTTCTCTCTCTCTGTCTCTCTCTGGTCTCCTCTCTGGTTCTCTCTCTTGGTCTCTCTTCTGGTCTCTCTCTGGTCTCTCTCTGAGTCTCTCTCTGGTCTCTCGCTCTGGTCTCTCTCTGGTTCTCTCTCTGGTCTTCTCTCTGGTCTCTCTCTGGTCTCTCTTGGTCTCTCTCTGGTCTCTCTCTCTGGTCTCTCTCTGGTTCACTTGGTCTCTCTCTGGTAATCTCTCTGGTCTCTCTTGTCTCTCTCTCTGGTCTCTCTCTGGTCTCTCTCTGGTATCTCTCTCTGGTATCTCTTGGGTCTCTCTTGTCTCTCTCTCTCTTAGTCTCTTCTGGGTCTCTCCTCTGGTCTCTCTCTGTTCTCTCTTGGTCTCTCTCTGGTCTCTCTGTCTGGTCTCTCTCTGGTCTCTCTTGGTCTCTCCTTGGTCTCTCTCTGGTCTCTCTCTGGTCTCTCTCTGGTCTCTCCTCCGGTCTCTCTCTGGTCTCTCTCTGGTCTCTCTCTGGTCTCTCTCTGGTCTCTCCTCTGGTCTCTCTCTGGTCTCTCTCTGGTCTCTCCTTGTCTCTCTCTGGTCTATCTCTGGTCTCTCTCTGGTCTCTCTCTCTGGTCTCTCTCTGGTCTCTCTCTCTGGTCTCTCTCTGGTCTCTCTTGGACTCTCTCTGGTATCTCTCTGGTCTCTCCTCTGGTCTCTCTCTGGCTCTCTCTGGTCTCTCTCTGGTCTCTCTCTCTGGTCTCTCTGGTCTCTCTCTGGTCTCTCTCTGGTCTCTCTCTCTGGTTCTCTCTGGTCTCTCTTCTGGTATCTCTCTCTGGTCTCTCTCTTGGTCTCCATCTCTGGTCTCTCTCTGGTCTCTCTTTGGTCTCTCTCTGGTCTCTCTCTGGGTCTCTCTCTGGTCTCTCTCTGGTCTCTCTCTGGTCTCTCTCTGGTCTCTCTCTCTGGTCTCTCTCTGGTCTCTCTCTGGTCTCTCTCTGGTCTCGTCTCTCTGGTCTCTCTCTGGTCTCTCTTTGGTCTCTCTCTGGTCTCTCTCTGGTCTCTCTCTGGTCTTTCTCTCTGGTCTCTCTCTGGTCTCTCTCGGTCCTACTCTATGGTCTCTCTCTTGGTCTCTCCCTCTCTCTCTGGTCTCTCTCTGTGGTCTCTCTCTGGTCTCTCTCTGGTCTCTCTCGGGTAGTCTCTCTCTCAGGTCTCTCTCTGGTCTCTCTCTGGTCTCTCTCTGGACTCTCTCTGGTCTCTCTCTGGTCTCTCTCTAGGTCTCTCTCTGGTCTCGTCCCTGGTCTCTCTCTAGTCTCTCTCTCTGGTCCTCTTCTTGTCTCTCTCTGGTCTCTCTCTGGGGTCTCTTCTTGGTCTCTCTCTGGTCTCTCATCTGGTCTCTCTCCTGGTCTCTCTCTCTGGTCTCTCTCTGGTCTCTCTCTGGCCTCTCTTGGCGTCTACTGGTTGGTGGAGAGGCGGTGTAGTGCACGAAGAAAGCTTCCTCTTGTAAATTAGTCAGGCTTGATGAGGGTGAGGATTGACAGTCTGTTTCGCAGACTTACTGGATCGATGGACTGGACTGGACTCAAATGGACTTGAATGGCTCGAATGGGATCTGGGACTGGACTGGACTGAATTGAATGGACTAGAATGGACGGGACTGGACTAGGGTGGATCAGGAAGGACTCAGACTAAAGTACCTTGATCAAGAAAGGCCTGATACAAAAAAATACCAAGATACCACCTCAGAGTTGAACAGTCTCCGACTCAGAGAAGTCCCTCGCTCCATCATGGTCTCAGCGTTGGAACTGTCTCAGGACTCAGAGAGGTCGCTTCATGGTCTCAGATTGGGACAGTCTCAGACACAGAGAGTCGCTTCATGGTCTCAGCGTTGGAACAGTCTCAGATCAGAGAAGTCGCTTCATGGTCTCCAGAGTTGGAACTGTCTCAGGCCTCAGAGAGTCGCTTCATGGTCTCAGAGTTAGACAGTGTCAGGGACTAAGAGGAAGTCGCTTCATGGTGTCAGCGTGGAACAGTCTCAGATCAGAGAGTCGCTTCATGGTCTCAGAGTTGGAACAGTCTCAGACTCAGAGAAGTCGCTTCATGGTCTCAGAGTTGGAACAGTCTCGACTTCAGAGAAGTCGCTTCATGGTCTCAGAGTTGGAACAGTCTCAGACTCAGAAGAAGTCGCTCATGGTATCAGAGTTAGACAGTGTCAGACTAAGAGAGTCGCTTCATGGTCTCAGGTTGGAACAGTCTTCAGACCTCAGAGTGGTCGCTTCATGGTCTCAGAGTTGACAGTTCAGACTCAGAGTAGTCGCTTCTTGGTCTCGAGGGGTTTAGAACAGTTGTCAGAATCAGAGAAGTCGCTTCATGGTCTCGAGTTAGACAGTCTCGACTCAGAGAAGTCGCTTCATGGTCTCAGAGTTAGGAACGTCTCAGATCAGAGAAAGTCGCTCATGGTCTCGAGTTAGAACTAGTGTCAGACTCAGGAGTGTTTAGGTCTCCGAGTTGGAACAGTTCAGACTCAGAGAAGTGCTTCATGGTCTCAGAGTTAGAACAGTCTCAGACTCAGAGATGTCGCTCATGGTCTCAGAGTTGGACAGTCTCAGACTCAGAGAAGTCGATTTCATGGTCTCAGAGTTAGAAAACAGTGTCAGACTCAGAGAAGTCGACTTCATGGTCTCAGCGTCTAGACAGTTCAGATCAGAGAAGTCGCTTCATGGTCTCCGAGTTGGAAACAGTCTCAGACTCAGGAAGTCGCTTTTGGTCTCAGCGTTAGAACAGTCTTCAGACTCAGAGAAGTCGCTTCATGGTCTCAGTGTTATAACAGTCTCAGGACTCAGAAAAGTCGCATCATGGTCTAGAGTTGGAAAACAGTCTCCGACTCAGAGAATGTCGCTTCATGGTCTCAGAGTGTAGAACAGTCTCAGACTCAGGAAGACGATTCATGGTCACGAGTTGGAAAAACAGTCTCAGACTCAAGAGCGCTTCATGGTCTCAGAGTTAGACCAGGTCTTTCGACTCAGAGTAGATCGCTTCAGGTCTCAGAGTTGGAACAGTCTCAGACTCAGAGAAGTCGCTTCCATGGTATCAGGTTGGAACCGTCTCAGACACTCAGAGAAGTCGCTTCATGGTTCAGAGTTAGAACAGTCTCAGATCAGATGAAGTAGCTTAATTGTCTCAGAGTTGGAAACAGTCTCAGACTCACAGTGGATCCTGAAACTTGTACTCACAATGTTAATTTATGAAATATGTGGAAAATTCACTTGTATCATGAACATGCAGTGGACTGGCTGGGCTGGACTGGACTGGACAGACTGGGATGGACTTGGCTGGGAAGGAGCTGGACTGCGCTGGGCTGGGCAGGCCTGACTGGGTGGCCTGACTGGGCTGGGCTGGGACTTTGCCACTAACACCAAAACACAAGTCAGTATGATGTGTGAGTGGATGCGATTGTGTTGATATTGCCTCAGTTAGAACGGGGGCGAGCCATAACAAAAAAAGTACCATGGAGCGGTGAGGCGAGTTGGTGAGAAACACCATCAGACCCGGGACAGGAGAGTTCCGTGTCTTCTCTGGTTGTTTTTGATTCTTGTTTCGTTGTGATTTTAATGTTTCTTGTTTGGTTTTGAGTTGTTCTTCTGTATGAACAGTGACTACACAATTAAACTTGCCTCAGGCCCTTCCTGTCCGCACTGAGAGGAGGGTCAGGAGCAGGACCAGACTCTAGTCCTCTATTGGTCTCTCTCTGGTCTCGCCTGGTCTTTCCATGGTCTCTCTCTGGTCTCTCTCTGGTCTTCCCTGGTCTTTCCTGGTCTCTCTATGGTCTTCTTGGTCTCTCTCTGGTCTCTACCTGGTCTTTCCCTGTCCCTCTCTGGTCTCTCTAGGTCTCTCTCTGGTTCTTCCCTGGTCTTTCCCTGGTCTCTCCTGGTCTCTCTTGGTCTTCTTGTCTCTCCCTGGTCTTTCCCTAGTCTCTTTCTGGTCTCTCTCTGGTTTCTCCTGGTCTCTTCTCTGGTCTCTCTCTATGGTCTCACCTTCTGTCCATACAGCATATTCCCAA